TAAATGAATGTTGCAAAACTTTCTAATAGTATCTATAATAGACATTGCGTTTTTTTCTCCTTCTTTTGATATTGTGCAGCGGACTCTATTTTTATTTTTTGTTGATAAAGTATGTATATTACTTTTTTCTTTGATACGCACTCAATAAAATATGAAATCAATATTTCAATTCTATAAGATACTATCAAAAAAAAAACAATAGCTGTCCGCGTCATTTCCATTGTAAATAGACAGTATTCAGTATGCGTTTAATTGTAAAATGAGGAAATAGTTTTTCACATTTGATAATTTCTTCAATATTTTCAACTATTTGATCATCTGCTGTTAGAACATGAAAACATAATGAATGAAGATGATGATTATTATTATTATGATTAATTTTCTTGAAAATAGTACATAAAAATGATTGAATATCCATCGTATTGATATATCTAACTTTGAAATATACTATATCAGGACAAAGTGTGAAAAGAAAATCAAGTTCTTGAACATTATCAATCTCTTCAAGATAGATTTTGGTAATTTTACTTGTCTCTTTCATGGAACATAAAATAAGAAGTCTTTTAACATTTAATTCTTCTGTTTCGTCTGTTGATAATGAATGAATTTTTAATGTAGTTATGTCTGGTAATAGATTGACAGCTTGAATCAATACAGGACTTGAGATCTTTGTTTCGAGAATTTCCAATGATAAATGTGTGTTCTTGTTAAAATATGTTGAATTGCTTTGGGTACCACTTCCTCGAACATAGAATTAGGAATACATTCGAATGTTAAATTAGAGTAAATGTAGAATGTTCAACAGAATAATTAACAATATTATCTTTTGTATTCATTATGTCATCTTTTACTAAAAAGAAACAAAATCAATCATTTTCTATCGGAATTATTTTTCTATATACCTGCATGGATGAATTGTATATTCGATATGTGTATAACTAACTTCGGCTTCAAATAGTCATTGTCGTTCAATCCAAAATGAAGAAGAAAATTAGTTCGGTCTTCGAGTATATATTGGATATTTTTGTTCATTATCAACATAATCATCGTATATCAGATAAAATTTTTCTAACTGAGAAAAATAATTTAAAATTAATTGTTCCCATCGATGAGCATCAAGAAAAGTAATATCTTCTGATTCAATAATAGATAAACTTTTTAAATTTGGAAATATTTTTGTAATGAATATTTCTAGTTCATTAAATATTGTTTGACATAAATTCAAATAAATCCACTTTAGATTAGCTAAAGTAATTGATGATAATAATACCATAATATTAGAATCATTCGATTTTCCTTTATGAAGAATTAGACAGCGAAGTTGTGGTGTATAAGAAATTAAAGATGCAAGTTCGTTCAACGAACAAAAATGATCAATAACAAGATATTCAATAGGAGTGAATTGATTATTCATAGCCATTGAAAGTGTAATTGAATGATGATTATTGGAAGAGAAAATCCAATAATACTTCAATTTAGGTAATATAAATATCAATCGATAGATATTGTTGTTTTCTTTTTCAACATTGGATGTTTCGATCGTTAATGATAAGAGATGTGGTAAAGAAGATAGATTACTTAGAACCGAGATAATTGTATTGGATTGAATGTCTTTGAAAAAATAGATCCAAGGCGATCAAACGATGAATCGAATAAAAATAATTATCTTGTAATATAAAAATCACATATATAGAAAATATTTGATGTCGATTAGAAAACATAAATTGTTTAAACATGTTCATAACTTCATTATTTTGAAATGAACAAAAACGAGTTTTAAACAATACAGATAAAAAGTGAAGAAGTTATTCAAATCGAAAATTAAGATTTCAAAAAAAATGCTTTATATAATTCATGTCCTTTCAGATAATCAAATATTTCACATAATAATTCATTTGATAGATCTTCAAAATAGATCATGGATTGATCGAATTTATCTGTTACAATAAATCAGAATTTAATTTTCGTTTAACTTTATTCATACTTATATTTCAATCTAAATTGAATGAATTTGTTTATAAAATGAATTCTTCATTTCGAATACACTTTAATATACTATTTAGACAAAAGAAGAACAAACTGTCAAGATCAACGTCCGATGGAAAAACCCATAGACAGAAAAGGAAAGCAAAGTATGACGGTCATTTAACCTTATAATATAATCAAATGACTTTGCAAATTTGAGAGAAGTTATTTCATCAAACTTAATAATCTATGATATCATTTGAAGTTATAAAACAAATTTTTATTAATACAAATTTTATTAGATTAAAAATTTCGTTTTATCTGTGCATTAGTTTAACACATTCGACCCGATTCAGTTTTCGTAAAATTTTTTTCAGATTGTTCATTTTCGTGAACAATCATCTTCTAATAAATACACTTAATGACCTTTTGGCTATATTCTACTGGTTATTTGTCGTTCTCTTGCTTATACCACTACACAGTGAGTCATTTTTTACTGACCAAATGAATAATCGCTCAAGTCAGTTTTTCGTTCTTTTGT